TTCTTCCTAAAGCGGCTAATGTTTGGGAGATGGCTTACTTCACCCCTCACGCCTTTGGGTTCATAGAAAGCTCTTGCAGGCACATCTATATTCAAGGATAGCTCCCCGAGGTGTGATGGCTTCGGTTATTTTGTACTCTTGATTTCACTTCAAACTCATGTATGTTTTGTACTTTCCGGCCGGTAGAGCCGATGAATAAAGTGTGATGCCTCCTTGCTGCGATCGTCTTTTAACTTTGCCGTCCGTTCGTCTTACCTACCTATTTGGCCAAATGCCTCTCTTCTCTTTTTTTTGGAGAGGTCTTCGATTTCGTTCCGTCGTCCGCTCGTCTTACCTGCCCATTTGGCCCGATCCTTTGGATTCTGAGCTGGGCTCGGCCGCGATTGTGACGCGGAACAGGTTTATCCCCTTTGGGGATTCCTATCCCTTTTGGGGATTCCCCGGTCTTCGTTCCGTCATCCGTTCGTCTTACCTGCCCATTTGGCCCGGTCCTGTGGATCCTGAGATGGGCTCGGCCACGATTGTGATGCAGAACGGGTTTATCCCCTTTGGGGATTCCCCGGTGCCTCTCTCCTTTTTTTGGAGAGGTCTTTGATTTCGTTCCGTCGGCCGCTCGACTTACCTGCCCATTTGGCCCGGTCCTTTGGATCCTGAGTTGGGCTCGGCCGCGATTGTGACGTGGAACGGGTTTATCCCCTTTGGGGATTCCCCGGTCTTCGTCCCATCATCCGTTCGTCTTACCTTCCCATTTGGCCCGGTCCTGTGGATCCTGAGCTGGGCTCGGCTGCGATTGTGATGCGCAATGGGTTTATCCCCTTTGGGGATTCCCCGGTACTTCTCTCTCTTTTTTTTTGGAGAGGTCTTTGGCTTCGCTCCGTCGTCCGCTCGTCTTACCTGCCCATTTGGCCCGGTCCTTTGGATCCTGAGCTGGGCTCGACCGCGATTGTGACGCGGAACGGGTTTATCCCCTTTGTGGATTCCCCGGTCTTCGTCCCATCATCCGTTCGTCTTACCTGCCCATTTGGCCTGGTCCTGTGGATCCTGAGCTGGGCTTGGCCGCGATTGTGATGCGGAACGGGTTCATCCCCTTTGGGGGATTCCCCGGTGCCTCTCTCTCTTTTTTGGAGAGGTCTTTGGTACGGTGGTTGTACTGTTTGGATGCTTGGTACCGCTCGGCGGGGGACGTTAATTTCCTCCGGGAGGCTCGTGGTGTTCTTGTGACGATGATGTACACCATGATTTTATCGTGGAAACCCGGAAAAGGAAAAACCACGGGACTTTTTGGGCTAATGTCCAAGCCTTCTTGTTTTCATTAATTCCTGTTGTTACATTGTATGAACCGAAAATTTCCTTCTTGTCTCCCCCCCCCCTTTTGGGGTGGGTGGGGGGTGGGGGGTGGGTCCTACTGGTAGAATCTCTTCAGGTGCTCCACATTCCATATGCCAGCGGAACGTCCTTCCATAGTTTGTAGGAGGAACGTCCCCGCCGCCAATCTTTTCTCGTATACCCTGTACGGCCCTTCCCAATTTTTGGCTATCTTGCCGCCCTCGAGCAGCTTACTCTTCTCCCGCTTCCGTAGTACCAGGTCTCCAACTTTGATCTCTCTGATTTTCACCGCCTTATTGAAATACCTTTCGGTTGTCCGATGATATTCTTCCATGCGCCGTGCGGCTAGATCCCTTCTCTCCTCGATAAAGTGCAACTCTGCCCTTAGATTTTCCTCGTTCTGTCCTGGGTCAAAGTGCAGAGTCCGGTGTGTGGGCACGAGTACCTAGGTGGGGACCTTGGCCTGAAATCCGTACGTCAGTGCGAACGGTGTTTCCCCGGTCGCCGTTCTTGGAGTTGTCCTGTACGTCCACAGGACATAATTCAGCTGCTCCGGCCAGGTTGAGGAGTAATCTTCCAATTTTTTCTTTATGCCATCCATGATGGTTCGGTTCATATTTTCCACCTGGCCGTTTGCCTGTGGGTACGCGACTGAGGCCTTGGAATGCCGGATGCCCCACTTGGCCAGATATGCCTCAAACCCTTTGCCAACGAATTGCCAGCCGTTGTTTGTAATTATCTGTTCTGGGATGCCGAACCGGCATAATACGTTCTGCCATATAAAACGTTGGCATTGGAACTCAGTGATGTTCTTCAATGGCTTGGCCTCCACCCACTTGGTGAAATAGTCAATGGCTACTATTATTAACTTCTTGCCACCAGTCGTCCTAGGAAGGGCCCCCTGTAGGTCTATCCCCCATCTCGCAAATGGTAGGGCGACGGTCATCGGGGTGTAGAAGCTGGCCGGCCTTCCCGGCATAGGCGTGTACTGCTGGCATACTGCACACCTCTGAGTGTGGTTGAAACAGTCCCGCTGGATGGTTAACCAGTAGTACCCCTGCAGGATGATCTTTCTCGCTAGCGTTCGGGGTCCCTGGTGACTGGAACAGATGCCATCATGAATTTCCTCCATGACTGATGCCGCTAGGTTCGGCGGCAAGCACCTGAGGTATGGTCCGCCGAACGTCTTTTTGTACAGTTCACCCCCGATGATCTCAAAGCTCGCCGCCCGTCTTTTTATCCATGGGGCCCTTCCGGAGGTGCGTCCATCTTTCTCGAGAGGGAGGGTTCCATCCCTGAGATAATCTGCCACCTCCTTCACCCAGTTGGGATCTGCATAAGAAATAGCATTTACCTGGATAATCTCCGTCGCCGGTTGAAGTAGCGCCTCCTGTCTAGCGAAATTCCGGATATGTCTCGGGACAGCCGGCATCTGATCCTCGGATAGGGGGTTGCCTAGCTTGGATAGGATATCAGCTTCGGCGTTTTCTACCCGAGGTACCAGGTCTATGATCACTTGCTCAAACTGCACAGTCTGCTCCTCTGCCAGTTCCCTGTAAGCTTTCATACGTTCCTCCCGAGTCTGAGCAGTACCATTCATCTGTGTAACATCCAACTGGCTATCCATCCGCACCATCAGACGAGCTGCTCCGAGGGCCCTCGCATATCTCAATCCTGCGATTAGCGCCTCGTACTCGGCCTCGTTGTTGGTGACTTTGAACTTGAATTCCATGGAGTAATATGCCTTGAATCCCTCGAGGGAAGTGATGACCGCACCCCCCCCCCCCCCGCATCCTTTTGCACTTGCTGCCCCATCGGTGTACATTTCCCACTAGTTGTCCAGGTCGTTGCCGCCGTATCCCCCATCCTCCGTACGTGCTGTACACTCGGCAATGAAATCTGCCAGCGCCTGCCCCTTGATCGTCGGCCTTGGCTTGAATTCCACATTGTACTGCCCGATCATCAAGGACCATTTCGTGATCCTCCCACTCGCTATTGGGTTCCTGAGGATAGTGGCCAATGGCTGAGTGGTGAACACCGTCACCGGGTGTGCCTGGAAGTACGGCGCCAAGCGCTTTATTGCTGCGATCAGTGCCAAGATCGTCTTTTCCATTAGCGTGTACCTTGTCTCCGGGCCGTTTAGCGCCTTGCTAACGAAATATATAGGCCGTTGAACACCATCTGCCTCCTTCAGCAAGACGGAGCTTACCGCCAGATCGGCCACTGCTAGATACATGTACAACGGATCCCCGAGATCCGCTTTAGTCAGGACAAGTGGCGAGGAGAGGTACGTCTTGAAATCTTCAAAAGCCGTCTGACACTCTGGGGTCCATTCAAATGGGTTGGCCTTCTTCATGATCTGGAAGAAAGGGATTGCCCGATCAGCCAATTTTGACATAAACTGGCTCAGTGCCGCCAAACGCCCAGTAAGCCTCTGCACATCCTTCAAATTTTTGGGAGCCTCCATGTCCATGATGGCCTTCACCTTTTCTGGGTTAGGCTCGATCCCCCGTTCGCTCATCATATAACCAAGGAATTTCCCTCCATTGACAGCAAAGGCACACTTCTTCGGGTTTAGCCTCATGTTTGCTCCCTCCATGATGGTGAAAACCCATTCCATATCCTGTACGTGGTTCTTCTTCTTCTTGCTCTTGATCAAGATATCGTCTACGTACGCCTCCATGATCTTCCCGAGGACGTCCTTGAACAATATCCTGATCATCCTCTGGAAGGTGGCCATTGCATTCCTCAAGCCGAACGGCATGACCACATAGCAATACACCCCGTCTGACGTGACGAAGGCAGTTTTCTCAGCATCGTCTGGATGTGTGAACACTTGATGATATCCCCTGAAGGCATCCATGAAACTGAGCAGCTCGCATCCCGCGGTCTCATCCACCAACAGATCAATCCTTGGAACAGGATAGGGGTACATTGGGCAAGCTTTATTGAGATCGGAGTAATCGACGCACATCCGCCATGTGGTCCCCTTGGGTGCTAGGACGACGTTGGACAGCCACTCCACATGCATAACGGGCCGAATGTGGCGTATGTCAAGCAGGGTAGTGACTTCCACTTTGATGAAGTCCCTCCGTTCGACCGCTATGTACCTCTTCTTCTGTTGTACGGGTCTGGCCTCCGGCCGTACGGCCAATCTGTGACAGATGATTTTCGGATCAATTCCTGGCATATCCTCCGGTCCTCTGGCAAATAAGATCTTGAACCTTTGGAGGATCAAGATCACCCCTTCCCGGATCTCTGGCTCCAGGCCCGCTCCGATGGACACTTTCCGATCGGAGGGGTCGTCCAGTTCCACTTCCTCCAGCAAGGTAGCCGGCTCTGGTTGGGACATGGCCTCCTCCTACCGAGTTGTTTCCGCAATGTTGTTGACCCTCATGTCCCTCTCAGTCATCTTCTTCACCGCTTCCTTGTAACATGCCCTCGCCGTATCTGGATCCGTACGGGCCACGCCTACCCCAGTCTCCGTAGGGAATTTTATACAGGAATGCCGTACGGAGCAGATGGCTTCAAGGTCCTCCAATCCGGGTCGTCCCGGAATTGTGTTGTGAGCGCATTTTAGCCGCACTACCACAAACGTCATGGGGATCGTTGCCCTGTGCTCGCCGTCCCCGATCTCTACCAGCAGGACGATCTTTTTTTTTGGAAAAAGGGATATTTTATTGAAATAAAAAGGAGTACAGTGCGTGAAGGAAAACTAAAATAAAAGTACATGAAAGAAAAGAAGGAAAAGAACTAAAAGAACGCGAAACAAAACTAAAAAAAGAGCTAATCCCATGGGAAATCTCAGGATTGCGACCTAGTTTTCATGTTGTGGCGCCTTTTGTTCTTTTGAGATTTCCTGTAGATTTTGAGCTGCGTGTTCAGGTTGTCGGTTGACAGACAATTTTTTGAGGTTATGAAATTAGCTTTGTTGCAGATCGCAGTATTGAATTTGGATTTTTTAATTTCTTCTGGGAAGGAGATAGGAAGACGACGATCACTTTCTGTTGTATGTCCCAAGAAGTCATCTCTATAGAATGAGTCATCAGAATAATCAAAATCGTCAGATGCATCTGAGTAAGCCTGGATCAATGATAGCTGTGGTTGTTTCCTAGATGAGTGCACATGGGTATTTTCAATATCTCTTCCCTGGATCTGATAACTAAAAATCAGTTTTGAAATTGCGGTGGAATCCTCACTTTCTATTACCCTCCCGTGTTGAAGAGAAAATGAATCATCCTGCACTGACTTTGAGAACCCTACAAAATTAGATAAAATATTAAGGAATAAAGATAGACTCGAGTTAAGGTGTCCCATGGGTATTTGAATGAAGCTCCCCTTGAATTTCTCCATTTTTATATAATAGCCCACTCTGTTAATTTCCATAGAAATCGTAAGATCTCCAAATCTCTTTGTGGTCTTTTCTTGAGCCGTATTTGCGAGCTCAGAGATGAATCGGATGATTTCTGCGACAAGATCAATTCTGAGATGAATTTTGTGTAGGAGAGTTTTTTTAATTGGAAGAGGACCAGATCTCTCTCTCGAACTGCAAATTTAAAAATTGTGGAACCTATTTTGACCGAGCCAAACCCATTTTCTCCAAAGGAGTATTTTTCACTTTCATAGATTTGCTCATCTGCTCCGTCGTTCACAATCGTTATGGACCTATCTTTATTGTCCAATTTTTTTAACCCAAAGTCTTACAGCAAAAGGGGGATTATTGGGGAAAATATCTGGGCCACCCCTCCTGTCCATGTTGTCTGTAGAGCTTCCCTTGAGTAGATCGGCCCATGTGATTTTTGCTTTGCCAGTCAGTCGATTGTTATCCTCTAGCAGGTTGTCGGTTGTTGGGATGATAGCCGGTGGTCCTAGAGATGAGTCTAACGGAGGTACCGACGAATTTTCCGGCCGTCGTCTTAGAGCACCGAGGTCTTTAACAGTCGATTTCTTGGGCTCACTCTTGGTTCGACGCTCAGTGATGGTATTTGAAATCACACAAAATTTCTGAGTATCAAGGAAATTGGACTCTGATTCGACCTCAGAATCAGAGGGTTGGGAACAGGGGATTTCATCTTCTCCTCGTAAACTCTGGTAGCGATTAGCGCTACCTGTTCCACCTTTCTTCTGCAGAGGTGTCGGGAGACTCAACAATGGAACGTGTGGGCTTCTTCTTCCCTTGTATTTAACCAAACTCCAACCGTCTTCTTCGATTTGGGGATGTTGTAGGGGTGGCTGGACCGGGGGGCGCTGAAGAGCGTACCTTCGATCCCTCATGAAGTTCTTTGTAGCTACAAGGCGGCCAGGGGGATACCAAAAATTGTGTGTGTTAGCTCTTGGGTGATACGCATGAGTCCAGCTTCTGCGTACTGGTCGTGGCTTGGTGTGTTCAGGAGCCCAGTAATCAAAAGGGTAACTACTGGTGGTGTGTGGCTGAACAGGGTTTGAGCTGTAGTGAAGCTCAGGTGACCAAATCCTCCGCCTGGAGTGTTCATGAGTGCAGCAATGAAAAGGATAACTACTGCTCGTGCGTGTATTCAAGTGTTTAGTTCGCTGATGGCCTGAAAACTTACAGATAGTCGGCTGAAAAGAGGTTGAGCTGGAGTGAAGCTCAGGTGACCATATTCTCCGATGTGGCTGTTGGCTGGTGTTGCCCCAAATTAACGGCTCATGGTATTGATTGAAAGGGATACACATTCTGGACAGTCCTTTCCTTGTGCGTCTACCGCTCAAAAGCCTGGTGTGATAGTGTTGATTCCAGAATTCTTGTTGTGGATTCCTAGCTGGAATATTCCAAAAGTTGTTTGTAGGAACATTATCATCGTAAAAAAGCTTTTGCCGGCATTGAGGTTGCCAGATTTCCATGAACGGAGTTAGGAGTTGACTGGAATTTTTTCAGAGAGATGGGAGAGTTTCTCCCTCTTCATATTTTTTCCCAGTTGTGACCAGCAGGATGATCATCCCTTCTGCATCGATGCTGTGGCCGGTGAAACCAGCCAGGGGTGTCCGTAGGGGGCTCAGATCGGCCCTGCTCAGATGCATCTTCTCGAATACTTCCCAGTAGAGGACATTGACACTGCTTCCTGTGTCAACCAGGACTCGCTGGATTATCCACTCCCGGATATCCATGCTGATTACCAACTCATCCCTGTGCGGCGCCGGTGATGGCGGTAGATCCACTGTCCCGAATGTGATGGGTTCGGCCTTATGTTTTTTGGCGGGAGGTGCGGAGATAGAATTTATCCGGAGGGCCCTCTCGAACTTCTTTCTATCCGCCAGGGTATCCCCAGTCTTCGCCTGTAATACTTGAGATTTAATTTAAACGGATTAATAGTACTACTCATACCAACAAGGTGCATCTCCTTTTAAGGGAGCTCATTAGCCAAGAACTCCAAAGTTAAGCGTGCTTGCACGGGAGTAGTCTTGGGATGGGTGACCCCCTGGGAAGTTTCTCAGGGCGCGCACGAGTGAGGACAAAGTGTGCGGAAAAGGCTAGTGGCGGTTTGTGAGGCTAGTACTAGAGGTTAAAAGTAACTACCTCGGGGCCTACGGGGTCGGGGCGTTACAAATGGTATCAAAGCAACCCTGCGACAGTGTGCTGATCCGTTGGATATCGGGCGGGCACTTAGCAGGGGAAAAAATTCTGGGATATGATTGAGATTGGTTTATGGGCTCAACGAGGACGTTGTATTCCTAAGTGGGGGTGATTGTAATATTTGAGATTTAATTTAAACGGATTAATAGTACTACACATACCAACAAAGGTGCATCTCCTTTTAAGGGAGCTCATCACCCAAGAACTCCAAAGTTAAGCGTCCTTGCACGAGAGTAGTCTTGGGATGGATGACCCCCTGGGAAGTTTCTCAGGGCGCGTATAAGTGAGGACAAAGTGCGCGGTAAAGGCTCGTGGTGGTTTGTGAGGACAGTACTATTGGTCTAGAGTAGCTACCTCGGGTCCTGCGAGGCCGGGGTGTTACACCGCCCCTCTGAAAATCATCTTGATTTCCATTTTCTTCTTGGTGCCGACCGGCCCGAGGGACGCCTCTGGCCGCTTACCGTTATGACGGAAATCCTCCTCCTTGACCCCAGCCTCTTGCCGATCATCCCGGCGCCAACTGTAGGGCCTCCTATGCTGCTGTGAGGGCCCCTGATATGTTCCTCCTGCGGTGAACTCACCCAGATACCCCCTCTCAATAAGCTGCTGGATGGCGTACTTCAGACTTTGGCAATCGTCCGTACGGTGTCCCTGCTTGCGGTGATATTCGCAGTAGGCTCCCGTGTCTTGGCCCATCATGAGCCCCTTGGTGGGTATCGGCTCCTTGAGCAGCCCCTTGTCCTTGATAGCCCCAAAAATCTGACTGATTGGGTAGGCCAAGGGAGCAGGCCCTATGCCTATACGGGGCCCGGGCGTTCCTGTGCGGCCCATGGGACGTAACCGCCGATCGTCCTCTTCTTCTTGAGTGCCGGTGATTCTACCGGCCCGGGACCCAATCAGTCCAATGTCTTGCGCGTTGCGGGGGCCGCTGTTCCATCCTGCTGCGAAATCTCTTCCTCGATTGCAGCGAACTTGTGCGCATGGGCCAACACCTCGGTGTAGTTGCTCTCGGGGTTCCTTTTCAGGTCCAGATAGAGGTCCCTGGTTGCCAACGCATTGGTAAAGAGGGTGATGCCGGTGCTTTCCGGAAGGTCCTCCACCTTCAGGGTCTCGTCCCTCCACCTGACCAGGAAAGCAGATAAGGATACTCCCTTATGGTCTCTTCCCCTGCCTCTTTTTTTTTCAGGGGAGTCCTATTGGTAGAATTTCTTCAGGTGCTCCACGTTCCATATGCCAGCGGAACGTCCTTCCATAGTTTGTAAGAGGAACGTCCCTGCCGCCAATCTCTTCTCGTATACCCTGTACGGCCCTTCCCAATTTTTGGCCATTTTGCCTCCTTCAAGCGGCTTGCTCTTCTCCCTCTTCCGTAACACCAGGTCTCCGACCCTGATTTCTCTGATTTTTACCGCTTTGTTAAAATACCTCTCGGTTGCCCGATGATATTCCTCCATGTGCCGTGCGGCTAGGCCCCTTCTCTCCTCGATGAAGTGCAATCCAGCCCTTAGGTTCTCCTCGTTCTATCCTGGGTCAAAGTGCAGAGTCCGGTGCGTGGGCACAAGTACTTCGGTCGGGACCTTGGCCTGAAATCCGTATGCCAGCGCGAACGGTGTTTCCCCGGTCGCCGTTCTTGGAGTTGTCCTGTATGTCCACAGGACATAATTCAGCTGCTCCGGCCAGGTTGAGGAGTAATCTCCCAATTTTTTCTTTATGCCATCCATGATGGTCCGGTTCTTATTCTCCACCTGCCCGTTTGCCTGCGGGTATGCGACTGAGGCCTTGGAATGCCGGATGCCCCACTTGGCCAGATATGCCTCGAATCCCTTGCCGACGAACTGCCGACCGTTGTCTGTAATGATCTGTTTCGGGATGCCGAACCGGCACAATACGTTCTGCCATACGAATCTTTGGCATTGGAACTCAGTGATGTTCTTCAATGGTTCGGCCTCCACCCACTTCGTAAAATAGTCAATGGCCACTATTATGAATTTCTTTCCGCCGGTCATCCTGGGAAGGGGTCCCAGCTAGGGGTGTTCATTAACCGGGTCGGACCGTATTTTAGACCGGAACCGGACCGGAATGAACCGGACCGGACCGGTATTAACCGGACCGGACCGGTATTAACCGGTCCGGGTTTCGGTCCTTAGTTTTTCAAGATTCCGGGTTCCGGTCCGGTCCGGGTCAAACCCGGAAAAAATAGGTCCGGACCGGAATGGACCGATAAACTATTGTTCCGTAAAATATATATTTTATTTTGTACCATTAGTCATTATGTTTATGCCTTACTTTTTTCTTTTATTATATAAATCAATATATACGGAGTACATGTATATTTGGTGTCTAATTATTTCTAAGTTGTTTTTTATTTGTTTATTTATGTGCAAGCGTGCACTACTATGATCATAGTTTATATTTGTTTGATTTTTCCAAATTGTTTTTTATTTGTTTCTTTATTTGTAGGTGTGCATGTAGTTTATACGTAGTATTTTTTGGACATAATTAAGTTTTTATTACTCTACAATACATTTTGTCATTCTAATATACACAAAAGATTGTAGTTTTAATTACTGTGGGAAACTAATTATTACGATTGAATAGTTTTGATGACTATATTCTAAAATTAATAAATGGGCTAAACAATTATTTAGCCTATATAGCATATCCGCACATAAAATTATAGTTTGAAACAACAACAACATCCAAGCCTTATTCCTAAAAAAAATGGTGTCGGTTAAGATCACTCTAAGATAATGTCTTTTTCTAAAACCGGGTCAATTAGGGTCAAAACCGGACCGGACCGGAAAATTCAGGTCCGGACCGGTCCGGACCGGTTAGATTTAGGTCCGGTCTTCGGTCCATAGAAAATGATGATTCCAGTTCCGGTCCTAACCGGTTCCGGTCCGGTCCGGTCCGGTCCGGTCCGGTCCGGTCCGGTTTCGGACCGGTGAACACCCCTAGTCCCAACAGGTCTATCCCCCATCTTGCAAATGGTAGGGCGAGGGTCATTGGGGTGTAGAAGCTGGCCGGTCTTCCTGGCATAGGTGCGTACTGCTGGCACACCGCACACCTCTGAGTGTGGTTGAAGCAGTCCCGCTGGATGGTTGGCCAGTAGTACCCCTGTAGGATGATCTTCCTTGCCAGCGTCCGGGGTCCTTGGTGGCTGGAACAGATGCCCTCATGGATTTCCTCCATGACTGATGTTGCCAAGTCCGGCGATAGGCATCTGAGATATGGCCCGCCGAACGTCTTTTTGTACAGTTCACCCCCAATGATCTCAAAGCTTGCCACTCGTCTCTTTACCCATGGGGCCCTTCCGGAGGTGCGTCCATCTTTCTCGAGGGGGAGGGTCCCATCTTTGAGATAATCTGTCACCTCCTTCACCCAATTGGGATTTGCATAAGAAACAGCATTTACCTGGATCATTTGTGTTGCCGGTCGGAGTAGTGCCTCCTGTCTTGCAAAATTCTGGATATGTTGTGGGACGGCCGGCGTCTGTTCCCCGGGCAGGGGATTGCCTAGCTTGGATAGGATATCAGCTTCGGCATTCTCTACCCGAGGTACTAGGTCTATGATCACTTGTTCGAACTGCGCAATCTGTTCCTCTGCCAGTTCCTTGTAGGCCTTCATCCGTTCTTCCCGAGTCTCAGCAGTGCCATTCATCTGTGTAACCACCAACTGGCTATCCATTCGTACCTTCAGACGAGTTGCTCCGAGGGCCCTCGCATATCTCAATCCTGCGATCAGAGCCTCATACTCGACCTCGTTGTTGGTGACTTTGAATTTGAATTCCATGGAGTAATAGGCCTTGAATCCCTCGGGGGAAGTGATGACCGCACCCCCCCCGCATCCCTTTGCACTTGCTACGCCATCAGTATACATTTCCCACCAGTTGTCTAGGTCACTGCTACCGTATTCTCCTTCCTCCGTTCGTGCTGTGCATTCGGAAATGAAATCTGCCAACGCCTGTCCCTTGATCGTCGGCCTGGGTTTGAATTCCACGTTGTACTGCCCGATCATCAAGGACCACTTCGTAATCCGCCCACTCGCCATTGGGTTCCTGAGGATAGTGGCCAAAGGCTGAGTGGTGAACACCGTTACTGGGTGTGCCTAGAAGTATGGCGCCAAGCGCTTTATTGTCGCGATCAATGCTAGGTCCGTCTTCTCCATCAGTGTGTACCTTGTCTCCGGACTGTTCAGTGCTTTGCTGACGAAGTATATAGGCCGCTGAACACCCTCAACCTCCTTCAGCAAGACGGAGCTTACTGCTAGGTCAGCCACCGCCAGATACATATATATTGGTTCCCCGGGATCTGCTTTGGTTAGGACAAGTGGCGAGGAGAGGTACGTCTTGAAGCCTTCCAAGGCTGCCTGACATTCCGGCGTCCACTCAAATAAGTTGGCTTTCTTCATGATCTGGAAGAAAGGGATCGCCCGATCGGCCAGTTTTGACATAAACCGGCTTAGTGCCGCCAAACGCCCCGTGAGTCTCTGTACATCTTTCAAATTTTTGGGGGCCTCCATGTCCATGATGGCTTTGACCTTCTCGGGATTAGGCTCGATCCCCCGCTCGCTCATCATGTAACCAAGAAATTTCTCCCCTTTGACGGCAAAGGCACACTTCTTTGGGTTTAGCCTCATGTTCGCTCCCTCCATAATGGTGAAAACCCGTTCCATGTCTTGTACATGATTCTCCTTTTTCCTGCTTTTGATCAGGATATCGTCCACGTACGCCTCCATGATCTTCCCAAGGATGTCCTTGAACAATATCCCACTCATTCTCTGGAAGGTGGCCATCGCATTCCTCAAACCGAACGGCATGACCACATGGCAATACACCCCGTCTGAGGTGACGAAAGCAGTCTTCTCAGCGTCGTCTGGGTGCATGAATACCTGATGATACCCCATGAAGGCATCCATAAAGCCGAGCAGCTCGCATCCTGCGGTTTCATCCACCAAGAGGTCAATCCTCGGAATGGGATAGGGGTCCATCGGGCAAGCTTTGTTGAGGTCGGAGTAATCGACGCACATCCGCCAGGTAGTCCCTTTTGGAGCTAAGACGACATTGGATAGCCACTCCACATGCATGACAGGCCGTATGTGGCGTATGTCCAGCAGGGTGGTGACTTCCACCTTGATGAAGTCCCTTCGCTCGACTGCCATGTATCTTTTCTTCTGTTTCACAGGTCTGGCATCTGGCCGAACGACCAATTTGTGATAGATGATGCTAGGATCAATTCCTGGCATATCCTCCGGTCCCCTAGCAAATAAGATTTTGAACCTCTGGAGAATCATGATCACCCCTTCCCGGATTTCCGGCTCTAGGCCGGTCCCAATGGACACCTTTCGATCGGAAGGATCGTCCAGTTCTACTTCCTCCAGCAAGGTAGCCGGCTCTGGCCGGAACATGGCCTCCTCCTGCCGGGCTATCTCCGCAATGCTGTTAACCCTCATGTCCTTCTCCGTCATCCTCTTCACCGCCTCCTTGTAACATGCCTTTGCCGTGTCCGGGTCCGTACGGGCCACGCCCACCCCAGTTTCCGTGGGGAACTTTATACAGGAGTGCCGTACGGAGCAGATGGCTTCCAGGTCTTCCAATCCAAGTCGTCCCAGAATGGCGTTGTGGGCGCATTTGAGCCGCACCACCACAAACGTCATGGGGATCGTTGCCCTGTGTTCGCCGTCCCCGATTTCAACCGGTAGGATGATAGTTCCTTCTGCATCGATGCTGTGGCCGGTGAAACCAGCCAGGGGTGTCCGTAGGGGTCTCAAATCGGCCCTGCCCAGGTGCATTTTTTTGAACACGTCCCAGTAGAGGACATTGATGTTGCTCCCTATATCAACCAGAACTCGTCGGATTATCCACTCCCGGATATCCATACTGACTACCAGCTCATCCCTGTGCGGCCCTGGCGTTTGCGGCAGATCCGCTGTCCCAAACGTGATGGGCTCGACCTTGTGTTTCTTGGCGAGGGGTGCGGAGATAGAATTTATCCGGAGGGCCCTCTCGAACTTCTTTCTCTCCGTCGGGGTATCCCCGGTTTCCGCCCCTCCGAAAATCATTTTGATTTCCATCTTCTTCTTGGAACCGACCGGTCCGAGAGATGCCTCTGGCCTTTTGCCGCTATGACGGAAATCCTCCTCCTTGACTCCGGCCTCTCGCCGATCATCCCGGCGCCAGCTGTAGGGCCTCCTATGCTGCTGTGAGGGTCCCTGATATGCTCCTCCCGTGGTGAATTCACCCAGATACCCCCTATCAATGAGCTGCTGGATGGCGTATTTCAGACTTTTACAATCGTCCGTACGGTGTCCCTGCTTGCGGTGATACTCACAATATGATCCCGCGTCCCCGCCCATCATGAGCCCCTTGGTGGGTACCGGCTCTTTGAGCAGCCCCTGGTCCTTTGATGGCCCCAAAGATTTGGCTGATTGGGTAGGCCAAGGGTGCCGGCCTTATGTTCACATGGGGGGCGCCGTCCCCCGGGCGTTCCTGTGCGGCCCACGGGACATACCCGCTGACCGTCTTCTTCTTTTTGAGGGGTGGTGATTCCACCGGTCCGGGACCCAATCGGTCTGATGCTTTGCGTGCTGCGGGGGCTGATGCCCCGTCCCGCTGTGAGACCTCTTCCTCTATTGCAGCGAATTTGTGCGCGCGGGCCAGTACCTCGGCGTAGTTGTTCCCGGGGTTCCTTTTCAAATCTAGATAGAGGTCCCCGGTTGCCAATGCATTGGTGAAGAGGGTGATGTCGGTGCTCTCTGGAAGATCCTCCACCTTCAAGGTCTCATCCCTCCACCTGATCAGGAAGGCAGATATGGATTCTCCCTTATTCTGGTGGACGTTCGTCAGCCAACTGAAGTGCTTCTTTGGCGTGGAGCTGGACGCGAACTGAGCCATGAACTGCCGGGATAGTTGTTCAAAGTTGTCGATGGATCTGGGCCTGAGCTGCCCGAACCACTCCTGCGCTGGCCCTCTAAGGGTGCCGAAGAAAAGTCTGCAAACAGCCTCATCGGAGGCTCCCAACATGGAGAGCGTCCCTTGATAAGATAGTAGATGGGCTTTGGGGTCCCCGGCTCCATCATAGGTTAGTGTTCCAGGGGGACGAACGTCCCGTGCAATGTCTACCGCCAATCCTGGGCTGGGCCTGAGTGTTCTCCGTCCGTCGATTCAGCTCATTTATTTGCCTCTGCATGTCCAGGAGCATGGCATCTCATGGATCAGTCCCAACGGGCGCGGGGGTTATTACTGCCAAGGTGTTCCCCCTTGGTGCAACGCCATGATTGTGTTGGCCATGGTATACTCGGGCCTCCGCCGTCATGCCTCCCACTACGGGGGTATGTTCCCTAGCCGTTCTTCCATCGCGGGGCATGACCGGCGTGGGGTCCTAGACCGTGTGGCGCTGTGTTCCTCTGAAGGGCCTAGCCCCCGTTGCACCCCCCATACCCGGAGACCGGGTGTTCTGGGTTATCCTGGAATGGACCGAGCGGCGGGGATTGCTATTTTCGCCAGTGTGTTCGGCGAAAGACTGCATGGGACAGACGAGTGAGAGCAGGGTGCGCTCAGTATTGGCAGTGTACACTTGCTCTTCCTCCCGCTGGTCCGCCAGTCGGCGGATAGTATCCGCGATATCTCGCAGTGCGTTGGGGTCCCTACGGAGTTCCTGTGGAATCAGGTCGGTGAGTATCTCGAAATCCCCTCGGCTCCATAGACTGGTGGATTGGGCCCCCGCTGCCTGGTTACGGCTCCTCCTGTTGTGAGCCAGTCTTGATGATAGGTCTTGAGAATTGTCCACATTGTTAGTGTTCATTTTGTTTTTTTTTCCGGTTGTCTTAGAATTTTTAAATGGAGGGCTTGCTTAAAAGAGCTTCTTGATCAGTTCCCACAGACGGCGCCACTGTTGAGATTTATTCCCCTCAACCCACAGGCCCAACACGTAACCTGGGGGTTTCGAATGGGTAGAAGGCAAACGAACTCACTAAACAACGGGTGGGGGTGGATTAATAACTGTTTTATTCACTGTAACGATTATAAGCCAAAAGGCCGAACGTACTGAAAATATACTATGTGTTGTTGATGCTATTACAATTCTAGAGTAACGAAGTGCGAACCCTTTACAATGAAATAAATGAGACTATTTATAGTACCCCTTGGTGGTTGGGGGGCTGACGTGGCCGGCTGTGGACGACATGATCCCAACTACCAAATCTTCAGCATTAAATGCGCTTCCCGCCAAGATCTTGGTTTCCCGCCATAGCGAGGGGGACGTCCGTCCCCTAAACTGGACTCGACCCTTTGGTAGCAACCTGGGCCCTTAAGTATAGCCCACAAGACGTTCGTCCCCTGG